CAACCAAAAAAAAAAAAAAGATAGCGAGACGATGAGATAATAGTGGAGGTGGGCGGAACATACTGGAAGGGGGACGCGGCGTCGACTGGTGTGTCATAGGAGGACTCCTTGGTGGCCTTGTTATAAAAGTACTTCCTGTTTGAGTTTTTACTGTAGGCCATCATCCATGGCTCTAAAGAGATGGAGACAGCAGAGGATGGATTAACGGAGGTGTACACGGAAACGAACCCCCCCACCCAATGTGATGATTGGCATTTTTTTTCTCGAGGTCCTTTTCGGGCGACACGCACCGTTGGTGGTCTTGATGATGTAGAGCCCGGTGGGAAGGAAGTGTCGGTCATCTCGGCCGGTGTAAGACAGACGGGGGACTCCGCCGGAACTCTTAGTCACCTTCATTTCCAATCTGATAACATTAAAAACAACAAATACGGTCATGAACTGCGCTTTGAGTTCAAAGAGCGAACCTCAAGGATCTTCATAATAAAAGCGGCCGTACCGTACAAAAATCTTCTCCATTTCCTCCAGCCTGTAAACTTCCTTCACCCTGTATGGAAACCGACAATCGATAGTCAACTCGAGCACCATCACAATTCGCATGCGCCAATCTTTTGTGTTTATATAGCAGAAAAAAGGGACTTTACAATACAAAACACTATTTCCCATAGGAAATGATGTAAATCCAAATAATCCGTTCCAGACACGCCAAATGAGGTTCACAATACGGTTTTATGTGTCGCGAAGGGGTAACGCTATAGCAAGTGAATAGACGGGAATTTGACGTTGCTGATTGAGACAGAGGAACACGAGGCACCTGATGGGGTTCATGTCCGGTCTGCTGGGCTTGGCCACCGCCTTCACAAACTTCTCGGCCATCTCGATCCTGCGTGCAAAGTCCACAGTTCAGGACAAAAACGTCTGACATGAGGTTATGTGTCTCTCCATCGCTAACATATTATGTGGTGCAAGGGAAAATAGCATTTTGAAGTGAATAAGAAAAAGAGTGAAAAAGGGGAAAAAAAAAAGTTATCGGCCAATAAAAAAAAAAAAAGTAATATATTAGGAGATAAAAATATGCTCTTTATGAAAAAAGAAGGACAAAAAGTTACAATATGTTCCATTCATAAAATCAGAATATCACATGAAAATACCGCACGTAAAGTCTAGCAGTACGTCATCAATGCAAAAATTCAGAGGAGAAATAAATAAATAAATAACATTTACTTTTTATTCTTATTTTAAAAAATATTTTGTTCTCTGGTGTTTGTTTTTTTTAATTTTAGACAAGCCTTTTTGTCCATCTTAAAAAAAAAAAATTCTTTTTTTGGGGGGGCTTGGTTTACTATGTCGACTGTTTTCATGTTTTACAGTAACTGTCGGTTTTCATACGTCCGATTTTGAATTGACGGCACTTTGTATGCAGCTGCGGCTGCTTTTGAAGCACTCGAGAAATAAAAGCTGAACTGAGTTCGGCAATGAGGTGGACGGAATGCTTTTGCGTACCGCTTGTTGAAGTGTTGATCTCGGACATCGGTGCCATTCAGAATGAGCGCGTCCATCACGTGCACCGCGTTGATTCGCCGCTGCGCTTTGCCCTGCGAATGACGATGCGCGTTCACGACACGGCGCCGCCAGAGTTGTCGGCCAAGCGGTCGGGGGGGTGGGAGCGGCGCTCACCTCGCCCTTCAGCTCCTGCACGATTTCCACACTCAGCAGGGAGTCTCTCGGGAGCTCCAGCTTGAAGCTCTCCAGCTTCTGCCAGCGGAGCGGCATCTTTCCGTCCCACGTGTAAATCTGAGACTTCTGCGCGGGAGGGCGGGGAAAACGGAGGCTGGTTTGTCTCCAATATTTCAATTTGCAGGTGGTAAAATGACCAAATTTTCCCTCGTGGCGTTGATTTTGAGCGCGTGCACACTCACGCCCAGCGTTAAAAGGAAGATCTGCTCCCTGCCTCCCACGATGCAACGGTGGTCCAGGACGTGACGCAGCTTTTCAAGTGTGCCGGAGTTGAGCGGCGTGAGGTTGCTTTTGAACGACTCCACGTCAGGATTCTGGAGCACAAAAAGTTGCCGTTTAAAACCCACATCAAAAAAGGAACGGAGAATTTTAGAATCGCACCTCAACTGACCTTGACCAGTTCGTAAAATTTGGACCACGGGTCCGAGGACGCCGGCGTGACCCTGGCCTTGTCGGGCACCTGGGAGCAGATGCAGAACGCGTGAAGGCGCCGGGGGGGGGGGGGGGGGGCTACGTGACAGGGACTTAAGAGCTCATGGCCGACTCACCCCCCACAGACTGAGACATTGCTTGCGTATGTCGGCTTGCCTGGACTCGGCGAGCGTCCTGCGGGCGCCGACACAATCAGTTGCACACACGCAAGCCAAACGGGAGCGCGCGTGATGTCCGTCGGTGCGCCCGAAGCTACTCACGAGTCTAAAACGAAGGCGTGGATCTTCGCCAGGGCTTTGATCTGGACGGCGCAGAGGCTGTGGAGACAAAATGCCGCCGTTGCAGTGGTGCGTCCAGTAAAAAAAAATGTCGAATAAGTTGGCGGCAAAAATAGCTTGACGCAAAATTTGCGGATCCAACAGATTTGTTTTTTTTTTCATTTTTGATGCCATGTTGTGAAAGACTGGCAAGCCTGATCGCAGAGAGCCTTCTTTACGCCAAACAGGTTTCACGTGAAAACCGAAGCCAAACTTGGGAAAATGACGCCATCTCGGCAGTAAACAAATATCAAAACATGTGACGCCAAAGCACCAACACCAATTTTAGTAACGATCAAAGTAAATTATTTATTAATCAATGAATTGTCCAAAATATTGATCTCTCAAAAACTAGAGATGGATGTCATTTTCGGACTCAATAGCTTAAAATGACCTAGAAACCATTAAAATATTTTTGGCACTCCAAAAACTTTTTTTGTGTGTTTGTTTTGTTAGCCAGTATTATTCGATGGAATAATTGATAGGATTATCGATTATAAAACGATTCAATAGCGACAGCCCGATATGTGACATTACCAAAAATCACGTGTGTTTGCCGCATTAAACTTTTCAAAAATTGTTGGACAAAAAAAAAAAAAAAAAATCTGTAATTGTAACTTGTACTCATATTTAGTAGGAATATTTAACTCATTCACTCCCAAAGACGTTTTTAAACGTCTTTTCAGAGTTGGTCTAGAATTGGCTGGTACTGAATGAGTTAATAGCCTTCTTCTCTTTGCTCTCATTTATAAAAACCATCACATCGGATTTCAAATGAACAAATCCGAAGGGGCCTTTGAGCTCGCACCTCTCATTGCAGTTGACCATGAAGTGGAAGAAGTCGACGTCCTCTTTGATGATGCTGAGGGGAACCACGTCCGTCACGTCCATGTCGGTGTCTCGCAGCTGTTTGAGTTTCAGATTGACTCGGAACATGTACTCCCTGACGGCCTCCGAGCCCGGCTTTAAACCTCGGCACACCACGTACCTGCCAAGACATCGGCGCGAGCAACGTCAGAACAGCAAATATCTGGATAAAAGAATAAATAAAAACATTTCCAGCAGCGCACCTCTCGGAGTTGGCGGGCCGACTGGTCACGGGTTTGAAGAGTGTGACGCGGTCGAAGCAGAGGTACAGGAGGTAGACCAAACCCACGCTGAAAGGAGTGAAGAGGTCAAAGGTCTTGCAGACAAAATGGCCGCCTGGAAGAGGAAAAGCACCGCACAGAGACAAATGTTTAATTCTAAAAAAAATAATAATAATTAAAAAAAATAAATAAATATAGCAAAGCAGCATTAAAAAATATGAAACAATGCCAGGAAATGAACGGGTTTTATGAAGTTACGTTTAGACTGTAAGTCATGTGTTGGATGTGTGTCTTGGAGGGGCGTGGCCAAGTGAGTGACATCAGGAGTGCCAACGGCAAATCTTTGCGGGCGTTCACATTTTGTGCGCCGGGCACTGCGGGTCTCCTTGTCCACATGTGAGACCGGAAAGGCCTGTTCACGTCGGTGCAAGCTTGCCCATATTTGGAAGTAACAAAGAGGCTTTTCACACTGGTTGGTTTATTGATGTTCGCACTCTGACATCACTCCTCTCCTATTGGACGGGCCATTTTCAAGTTGGGCCTCTCATAAATGAAGGTATAACCTTAATCCTTATTAGGGCTGCAACTAACGATTATTTTAATGATTGATTCATTAGGTTAAAAAAAACAACTTTAATTCCCATGTCACTATTTCAAAATTGACAGTTGGAGAAATTCAAAATGTCTCATTTCAATTATAAATTGACCAAAGAGGCAATCAAATTAAAATGCGGTTATTTACTTTTTTTACAAATTACTATGATTTTTTTTTTTTAAACAAATATTTCTGAGCTTATTTACAATTAATTAGTCAACGCTGCTAAAAAGTGAGCGAGGGACTCAACAACGGCGGCTGATCGGACCTGTCCTGAGTGTCGAGAGAGCGGCGAGGAACTGGCAGAGCAGCAGCTGCTTGGTCAGAATCTCCTGAAGGTTCTCCTGGCCTTCCACGGAGAAACCCTGGGGTCACAAAAACAAAATAAGAAGCCCGTTTTTTTTTCCCTTTCCCCATTGACAATGGAAACCAGAAAGAACAAATGACACACGGATTATTCACACTCGCATTCCCAAGGACGGACATTCATAAACTGGACACATTTTTTGGAAGATGGGAGGAAGTCCGAGTGTGACCGCAACTCTCACCCCGTCCGCCATGAGGAAGTGCAGCCCCCTCCCCTCGGTGCTGTCCAGCACAAAGTTCCGGAAGGCCGTCACATTCTCCGGCCGGGTGATGTCGCCATCGCCGTCCACGCCTCCTTCACCTGGCAAACATAAACACGGATGGAAATCAACAGTGGAGCGGTCAGAATTATTTACTCTTTGCCTACTTCCCTGAGCCGACGGACACATAAGGATTTTCCATATCTTAAATTTATTTCTGAGGATGATAAAGACATTATTATCACTCTTCCTTATATGAAAGCTATTTTCACGCCGAGACTCAAAGGGTCATAACGCCGCGACGATGGATGCTAATCGTGAGCATGTCGATGGCCTTTTATGTTAGCAACCAACTAGCGGAGGCATTTCAAGTTCAGTTGACTGAAATGCACAACTTGTAATTCTCTTTGTTTTATGTTTAGTTTGACAGCAAATTTCCTGCGGGCATTTAAACGGCTTTTGAGGAGAACTGTGACCAGATTTTTCGGACGAAAAGACACACTTCAAATCCTTGAATTTTCTCAAAAATCAACAGTGCACTTTCGGTATTAATTCTGGTTCTGTTCTTTAACCGCAAATAAATTTTACGTGGTACATGACGCTGACAAAATGTTTTTGTATGTAGTAAATCCACATTTGTTCGCAATGACAGGCCAAGACAGGGTGTCGGCTTTTCACCGTCTTGAATTCAAATTCCTTCCGATTTACTCCAATGTTCTCATTCTCATCCGCATCTGATCTCTTGCGGGTGCACATCTTTTCGTCATACCAGAACTAGAACCACTTCCTGCTTTTGTGTCTAAGAATCATGGGAAATCTATTCCTCTTAGCGCAAGCATTGCAGGATAACTAAGGAATGAGTCCACTTGGGTGTGGAGCAGCTCAAGGTACCATAGTAAGGCTCAAACAGCTCGCTGGGCGCGGCGTAGAAATCCTCCAATTTGAAGTCGCACGGCCCCTTCAGCGTCATGCCGAAGCCTTTGGCGTGCCAGCGTCTCCTCCACAGGATGTACTCGGAAAAGCCGCCGGGCCCGGCGCACACGTCGCCGAAGTACAAAAGCTCGTTGCCGTTGTCATGGGTCAGAGGCTTCTACGCCGGACAGGAGGAAGCGACGTCAATGTGACGCGAACAAACGCGGTCGAGATCCCGAGCGCGCACTCACCCCGTCGGAAGCTTTGGGTTCGGTGAACATGCGGTCGAAGCAGTGGTCGATGTTGGCCATTTTCATCGCTGCTCTAAATTTGGCGAACGTGACAACATTAGCATGATGTCACCAGCACGCCACGCAAATCCCGCCCGGTCGCATTCAGCACCTGTTGAGGAAGATTCCTCCTCGGATGGTCTCGTAAGGGTTGGAACGAGTGCGCGCTCTCCTCATCTCCTCGCCGTCCAGGTCGTCAAACACCGTCTATAGCGCAGCAGCAATACATTTTTTTTACGGGATGCAATTGGATTGGATATACGCTTCATGGGTTAAGTCACGCAATTCCAATTTTTTTGTAAGAAGAAAAATTAGACATAGAATGATATCATTTCGCTTTGGTGGAACACCCAAAAAAGTCAAAGCTACAACGGACACCTCACCTTGCACCTGAGGAGCGTGTGCAGGAGGTCTTCGGTGCAAAACTCCGTTTCGTCTTCAATCTTCAGTTTTCTCTGTGGAACAAAAAAAAAAAAAAAAAAAAAAAAAAAAAAAGGAAAAATTTGGTGTAGATGGAGAACAATTAAAAAAAAACATTTAAAAAGGTACAGGTCAGTACTTACTGGCCCCACTGCCATCCAGTCCCTCAACTCATCTGCATCAGGAATTTCTGTGGTGCATTCTGGGAACCAGTCCACTTTCTCTGTAGCGCTGGGCTGGAAACACATACACAGACATGCAAGAATGAAAATGCACCTATATATGATCAGAAAAAAAAACAACAACATATTTGCACATTGACTGACAAACATTCTTCAGTATAAAAATAAAAGTGTAAAGGAGGTTAACGAATGCAGAATAATATTTTTTAAAAATTTCAACCACTCACGTTTTGAAAACACTTGAGACACATAATGTCGTCAAAAAAAATGTTGGCAAGGATTTCCATGTTAACAATGAGCCATTATGTTTTATGTAACATGCTAGCATCTTTTCATTGGCAAATTCCGGTTCTACGGGTACCACCACACTTTTCCTTTCATCTCCTTCTCTTTTACACAACAAACTTTGGGAGCGCTACCTCGGGTTCATCCCGCCAGTCGACATTGAGCTCCCCCTGGAAGCCCTGCAGCGTGAGGCCGAGACCACGCCTCCCTCGCTGGGTCGACGCCTCCACAATCTCCTTACGGCCCTGGCCGAACTTGCCCAGACCCTCGCCCTCGCGGAAGCCCATTTTGGCCTGCAAAAAAAAAAAAAAAAAACAGTTGCATCATACTTATGGGATGGAGGCAGAGTTTCATCAAATACATGTTCTGTCCATGTCTGGATTCATACACACTTTACCGATTGAAGCACTTTTTAAAAAGTCCTTCAGTTTTCTTTTGTATGTAACTTCGATCCCGATTTTCTCATTAATGTGTAATTGTTTTAAATAACCTTTAATCAGATTAAGCGTTACTGTTGAAATTACTAAAGTACTCTACAAATAAAGTTGAGCTGAGTCGAGTACAAGTACATTTGAAAACAAAACATACGCATAAGACTTTAATATGCTTGATAAACACTAGTTTTCACTTAAAGTCTTCTTTTTTGCATCTAGGGTTGATGTGACATTTCCAATCACAAGATCCAATTGTTTTAAAAAATAATGCCCTCATAAAAGAGAGAATGCCGCATCACGACACATTTCACTTTCTTGATAATCTCATGTTGTATAAAGTGTTCTCAACGTTACCATGAGCTTTTGCGACACGCTGTTGTACATGGAGAATTTGGAGCCCTGCGGGGGCGAGTCTGCGTCCTTGGCGTGGACCGATATGGACGGCATGGAGAACCCCGCTCGGGGCTCTTCCTGGTCGCTGAGCGACTCATTCTGGCTGGAGTCTGGAAAGGAGAACAACTAATGTAAACAGCTAAGTCAATGACGAGGGCTTGGCCATACAGATGAATATTGCCTGCCTTGTCTCGACAATCTGGACTCTTCATCTGAGCTGCTATCATCACGGTGCCGCTTTGCAGCCAGAACGGGAGCAGCGTCGACTTTTCTCTTCATCATGGCTGCTGCAGAACATGCAGCAAGGAGAAAGGCGTCTTCTTTTAGCTCAATATAAACTCAATATATGATCACACAATATAGCAACACAATTCACTCAACCAGACACCACTGGGTAATAATGCATCAGTTTACACAAAATTAATGTTATTAAACACTAGCCTAAAACGACTGGAAGTAATGGCAAGCAAGCAATACGCCTCCAGTACGTGTCAGTGTCATGTAAAATAAATCACCGTTTAAGACTGGAGCCAGAGCCTGCGACGTTATTAATGCACACGCCACAAGCTAAGAACACGGGAAAATGTCATGCGTCTTGCTTGTATAGTTACACGTGGACGTTCAAAAAGTAAACTACACTTCTGCGAGGGGCGTTTCTGCATTTACTGGAAAACGAAACTGCGTAACTTGAGTTGTTCACCGACATAACATCGACAGACGGCTAACTTTTACCGATTCAGGCATAAAGGCGTCACTTCCTCAGCGATAGAACGTCAACTCCATACGGGCTTCAATATTCCCGTGTTTTGGGGAGGAACAAATACAACGTTTTCGTGATAGTTAATTCAAAAATCGGTTGATATTTGACATGGAAATCCAAAGTGGCTTTGTTTATTTATTTTCAACGGGGTCCTTATACTCTAGACAGGCGCGGAATTATGACGTCAGATTCATGCCATCGCTGCCTGCGTTTTAAAACCAAACGGATCCCAGTCAACTTTGTCTTGACCAATAGTCATACAATAACAAACCCGGTTTTATGAACATTTCCACAACTTATATAAATATTTAAGAGAATTTTGTTCATGTCTCCTTTTACTTGGACAATATTTATTGAAGTTGTACATTTTAGGAAATTATGAAACGCTTTATTCGAGCACCCTCATTTCAATGTGAAAGTTTAGGTCATAAACACTTGAAGAGAAAACGAAACCTGCATTTTCTTCACCTTAAAAATAACAATCTAAAACGTCTTGCTTGAATTTTTCACGACACGTCTTTCCCAAGCGATTAACATAAGTGTGCTCTTGCATGTGTTCTGGATTGGACTACAGTAATCCTTACTTGGCATCCAAGTCGGGCAATCGTGAGGTCTCTTTCAAAACATCACACACTGCCGAAAAAAAGATGTGAACATTTTCTAAACCGTCATACTGCTGCTCCTTCTATTGTACATATGTAGGTCACCTGGGGGAAATATAAGACTGAAATGAATATGAGGATGGAGTTGGTTTTAGCGCATCATTAAGATGCAGTAATATCAGTAATTCTCCTCAGAGGATAAATAATATATGTTTAAGAGCATTGTTGCATTATCCTTCTACATGTACTAAAATATGTATTAAAATATAATTTACTTCAAGGGTTACGACACAGTGACGCGGATGATATTCGTTAGTCAGTCTATGCAATTTCCCATTAAGATAGCTGACTTGTGTGATTGTTTTAAAAATATGTAAAATTCTGTTTTTTTGTTTATTTGACATCTATGTGTATATGCTGAGTAGACACTTTCCCGTGCCACAGTGTGTTGCATTTCCTGGTCTATGGTTATTGCCACAGTGTCGTCACCAGTATATATCGGGCCTCTATGTGCACGTCACCACTGCATTGATTGTGTAATTTTGTGGCTCTTTTCGGACCATCTCTCCCAGGTGCATTAAATCCAGCACATCTCCAGAGGTAGGCCTAATCCTCCTCTGACACCTTTGCACACACGAACGCTCCATCAGTGCCACGCATGTGAGCGGCTTATGCAATACTGGCAACGCTTTATATATATACGGCCCGTCTGCTGGGCATGTGTTTGTCGGCGCAAATGTGAGACGAGGCGGCGAAGCGAGTGTGTCGTTTGGACACGGGTGGGGGGGACTCGCGACCCAAATCTGGAGACGGCCCAAGGGACAGGCACAGCAGGCCCCTTGGTGTCGCCAAGCCGAGTCTCAGGAGAGGGCTTGTGTGCCTGTTAAAAGCAAGAAAGGACAACAGCAAGCATGTTTTTCTTCCGCATCCCTCGACTGACCCCTGGATACATTCGATACCTCCAGGTGCGTATTCTTGAAGAGCTGGATGTGATCAGTCTTGAAGCGGAAATGTGTGAATTGAAATTGGCAGTCTCTTATAATCAGGAAGATAAACAGAAATGAATGTTAGGCTTTGATAGTCATCTGGTTTATGGAGCCAAGGGGGAGTTCAGAACTTTAATTGTATTTGTTCAACTGATTTAATTAATCCTGTGCAAGAGAAACACAAGGGAAATTTCTCAAATGTTAAGGGAAAAAAAAAATCAAGATAAAGAGAAATTTTAGGCCTTGGATGGTCGAGAGCAAGGATGGGCAAATGGCCGCCCACACACTGAGTGCCCACTTGATTTAAATAAACAAACAAACAAACATTGATAAACATTCAAAAAACAGGGTGCAATGGGGAAAAGAATCCCAGGAAAAAAAAAGCGGCTAAATCCAACATATAAAAAAGTATGTCAAAAAGGTGGTAGGGTAGGACTGCAAATGTGCGAAACCACATGTATCGAACTGTGACTCTGCAGGGGTGAACTGTGGTTTTAAGTTGTAATATTACCAGTCACCAGTAGATGGCAGTTGTGCTTACACTGAATCTTATATTGCTTTAAGTAAGTAGGCAAAATAGTTTTGAGTGAATATGGAATGATGTGCAGGACAAACTGATTTTTGTGAGAGAAAAAAAAATGTTCTTGCACTTCATGTTGGTTTCTTGCTGAGCAGCTTTGTGCCAAAAAAAAAAAATCACAGCATGTGGTTATTTTGTTGTTTCCTCCAAACCCTTTGATAATGGATTCAGGTAGTGGATCTTTTATACACGCACCGAAAAAAAAAGTATGACCAAAAATGAAATATCTTGAAAGTACATATTTTGTCCATGTGTAAAATTTTTTTCATACCTCTGATTAGGAAGTGCGTGGTATCATTGATGGAAAATTGTGTCCAGCCCAGCTATAGTGCTTCACATAACCCAGCTGGTCTCTCTTTCAGACCCAGGCGGCCCAGACTGTCCTGCAGAGCCGGGATGGTCCCATGATGCCCCGCCTGGCGTTCCTGCTGGGATTCATGGGGGTGGGCGTGTCCGGCTACAGCTCCCGCCAACTGACGCTGCACTGCAAGCCCGCCAGTCGTCTCTTCAGATAAACAAGATGGACGGACAACCTCGGCATACACACAATGGAACGCAAGCGTTAACGACAGCACCAGGACCAGATTTTGCTGGGTTTGTAGTTTTTGAAAAATTATTGGAGGCACAATAAAAACGTAACTAGCTAGCAGGCACATTATCCTAAACTAAAACGGTCACTTGTCGCTGGGCAGAATATGCGCGAAGCCCCAAAGCCCAGTTTTAAAAATTGTTCGAGACAAAACCCGAAAGTAAAACTGCCGCTGCTTTAGGATCTTCTGCAGCAGTTCAAACAATTTCAACCTGACGCGAATATCACGTTTCATTTGGAATCGAATGAAAACGCAAAAGCACTGTGACACCCGCTGGGGCACTGCCCAGATTGCCCCGAATGCAAATTTGGCCATTGTAAATTATGTCTGCTTTCATGACAAAATCTAATCATTATGTTTGTTGTACTGTAGTTTGTGCAAAAACAAAACAAAACAAAAAAAAAAATCACTCAACCTATCCTACTGCTTACTTTGCACTTGTGTGTGTTTGTGCGCACAAACCTGCACATGACGTTGCACATATCACTTTGATTTGCTGGATGAAATTAGTAGAAGGCCGACTGCTACGAGCTTGAGTCGGACCGGGTGACTAAGCGAAAATTCACCCGGATGCCATCCAGTTCGCGCGCCAACAAAATGAGTAGAAAGTGTTTGAACGTGTTCTTGTTTTCTGTAGGACGTGGCGGCGTGTGAATGTATCCGTGGCGAAGCGTGTAAATGAACACTTTGAGATGAGATTAGCAGAGAAGGAGGTCGGGGAGATCCTCTTAGCAAGCATCTTTTTTAAGGGCAGCTTACATGCGACGTTAGAGGTCACTGACCCTGAAATGGAGACGAGCCCTCCTGTGACGTAGCAAAATTGAAATTAAAACATGTGACTGTAATCGGATAAGCGTTCTCTTGTGGATTCAGACAGATTTTGTACCCCAAAAATGTACGCTTTACGGTAAATTAAAAAAAAGAAAAACGTTGCTGTGGAATTTAGGAAATAATCCTTCAAAAAAAAAAATACATTATCTTGGAAAAACTAAGAATTTGATGGGAAATAAGAAAATATTGTCCAGAAGATTTCAAAGTAACCTATGCGAAATTAAAAAGCAAGTCAAAATATATTTTTCCCCCACCAGAGCTCCATCTGCTGGTTCGGGTGGGGCATTAACTCACTTGCCCCAATGCTAAATTGCCAGATTGATCGATTTTTTTGGGGACTTGATAATTAAAAAAAATACACGTCTATTTGTCTAAATTATATTACACTTTGTGTTATAATAAATTAGAAATTTAAATGTTTTTTTCTCACCAAAATATCATCTGCTGGTTCTGGATGCCAAATTGTCACTATTGTCTCTTTTCATGACATCTTCCAATAATTCACCATATGTGTTGCTCATTTTTGGTTAGGTACAAATAAATGCTCAATTTTTTTCGGTACATTTTCCGACTACATTCCCTTGAGAAACGCTTGTTTGCAAACATTAGCGTATTGTCCTCAGCACGTTTGTTATTGTGCATATTTTGACTAGTGTGGCGCTGTGATGTGATGACTGTGACAAGAATGTCCGTGTAGTATTTGGCAGTATGGTTGTATTGTGCCGTAAATGGTGATAAGTTGACTGTATTTATCTATGTGTTGAAAGGCCGATAAGAAACAAAGAGAAATATGTGACTAGGTGGCATTTAGTCTACGTGTGAAAAGATATGAACGAGCGAAACGACCAGAGGAGTTTTGGGACCACGGCGAACGCCGAAATATACAAGATACAAGTGGAACATTTGTATACTTTTCAGATTAGTGTCATGATTTGAACGACATCATGTTGAAAATATCTAAAAATATGACTTTGTGTTAAGATGATGACTTTTTTTTTTCCCCTCTCAAAATGTTTTGACTTCACTGTCGAAAAAAAAAATGAGTTAATGTCATGAATAATTTTTTTGGGTGTCCCTAATGCTCCAAAAAGTTGTTTTGGTACAACATGAGATGCTTCCATTTGCATTTTTTGCCCAGCATAATTCAATTTATTCAATTCACGGTACATGAATATTTACAGTACCGTATTAACTGTGAATGTAAAAAAAAAATAAAGAAATAAAATAAGCCGCCCCAATGCAAACTTGTTGTTTCTCTTGGAAACGTGAACCCAACCCACTCACATGAATTTTTTTTTTTTTTCCTGGGGAGGGGGTTGTGGGGGGGGGGGACATCTTCTTCACTCATTTAGCCATGAAAACTCATCTAAGTTGTAGTTTTATTGTATCTCTTGTGACCAAGTGAAAAATAAAGGTCAACTGTGAGCAGTAGAGGTCACTAGAAATTCTCTTCTGTTATGAATCAATGGAGGCGAACCCAATCACCTCCACAGAGGCTGGACGAATCAAATCTCACCGTGCACATAGTTTCATATGACATCTCCAAAGTGGTATGATTTTGAGTTCTGGAACCAAAAAAAATAAATAAAAATAATCTTTTTTAGTCTGGGTTGTTTGCATGTGTAGTTCATGAAAATTACAATTTTTTTGTCTAAAGTACAGCATATAGAGTGCTTGTTTCCCTATATCAAAAAAAAAACGTCACATTCCAAAAATGTTTTTTTTCCATATATAGTTGAATGACATGAATAAGAATAAGTATAAGAAACAATGTATTCGTCTCACAATGGAGAAATTCCAATGCACATCAGCAAAGTTATGAAAGGAAGAAGAATAAAAAGTACTGGAGCTGCTGTAAAGGCAGCCACTCACGCGGTGCCATCTTGAGTTAAATTAAAATGAAATTAAATTTAAAAAAAACATTAAAAATACATTGAGAAATTTTTTTTTTATTTAATTTTTTTTTTTTGAAGGGGGGTGTTAAATGCCTCCATTATTTCCAACAAAGATGTGACTTTGCGGCGAGGAGGTGATTCTGCAGGTGCTGAACCGCGACCATGCACGGGATCAACTTTCGGATGGAGACAGTTGCGGCCAAATGTAAAAATAGTTTGGACACGAGAACAACTCGGAAGGACTGCTTTGTGTCAGGTGCTTTGCTGCTAATGCTGGCCGCTGCGTTCTGACCCAGTTCTGGATCTAAGCTGCTTGGGAAAAGGGCCAAAATCTCTCCCGGTCACGGAGATTCGATGGCTGGGGGTGAGACGCCAGGTCGTTGCGCCAGTGTGAATGTAACGTGAGCTTTACCTCAAAAAACGCTCCAAAAAATGTAAAGTCGTTGTTGTTATTCCCAACAGCACACCTGTGGATCCTGACTGTCAGGTTCTCGGGAAGGTGAGGGTCTCACGCACATACGGACGCATAGGGGTCCATTGTGTGGCTGTTTCGGGAGAAGGCTCTTGTTACTTTCAACAAAAGGGCCGAATGTCTCCACAAGGCAACGAGACAGCTGAGAAGGAGCGAAGACGCCAGCGATGAAAAGTGAATCGAGGTGAACTGAAAACGCAGTACAGGCTGCAGGCATCTCGGTAAATCCGGTAGTTGTTTTTGCTTGCGGGTGGCAGGTTTTAAACCAGCACGAGGCAACACAGTGGCGGAGAAAAAAAAAAAAACAGATGTAACTTTCTAGAAATCAAATTTGTTTGCCATTGTGATCTATGATGCACATTTTGAGTCAAAGAGCACGCACGCCGGCTTAAGTCGAAAATATCTTCGGATGGCATGCTTAGAATCCGAGACGGATTCAACTTCCTTAAAAAGCCAGCGCTTTTGGATTTCGTCCGCATTCCTGACCAACTTACTGTAAGCGCGCGGAGCAATCGCAACAGGGAACTCGAGGACCTCGGAGTCAGGTGAGCGGTCTTAACCGGACCGGGGGGGGCGAGCTCACGAGGTTCACTCATCAACACGGGAGACTGATTCATACATTGATCAGGTTCAAGGTTCACGGAATGTTTCTCGTGAGTTGTACGCTTGAGTCGGATTCAACTAAAAATGTCATCATTTCAGCACAGACATCATAAATCGATCAACCATTCAGTATTTCAACCCTTTCATGCACCGAGAATGATAACCTGTAACCTGATAACATGATAAGCTTCGTATGGGGCCATAAAAAATCCTTTGACTTGAATTTATGAAACAGGCAGAAAGTCAATCAAGCAAGCAGTTCGATTTTATTTATATTTACTGGTTAATTCGATCAACGGCCACATGAGGCAAATTGCTTTTTCAAGATTTTGGGGGTGGCCAACGGCCCTGTGTCCCACCTTAGAACCAGCCCTGCACTGAGCAGTAGATGAATCACATCGAATTGGTTTACTGAACAATTCTTGACGTTGACGATCAAAACGCACTGATACAAAATAATAATAATAAACAATAAGCAGCGAAACAAAAGAACGCGACGACCCCTCCAGAAGTGCAAAATCTCGCTTGTTGTGTGACAACATCACCGTATCTCTCTCTCGGCTACAGCAGGAGTGAAAAGGGGCGAGTGGGAGAGAGGAGGAGCCAGCCCAGGTGGTCACGTAAATACGCACCAACCAAGACAACACACACACACACACACACACACACACACACACACACACACACACACACACACACACACACACACACACACACACACACCTCTACACGAGCGTGCGCACGCACACACACGGCAAATGAGCAGCACTCGACTTTTATGAATGAACAATAGCTGGATGCGCTGCTCTTCGGGCAACAACAGCAGGACAATTTGGAGTATTTTCAGATTTTTGGAGATTTTAAGGTGACATTTTTATTATTTTTTTTGTCATCCCAAGAATGTTCCGGAGAAGCAAGAGTAAAGTGTTGGTGGATTACGCGTCCGAGGAGGAGGACATGTCTTGGCACTACCGTCACTCCTATAAGGTAACTCATCATTTTTGACACAACTCAATTCAATACCAAAAAAAAAAAAATAAAATAGGCTTTCCGGTGATGTCACACAATTGTGGACACAGGTCAACTTTAGAAGCTAAGAAGTGTAATAGAAGCTTTTTTTAACGGACTTTTTCAATGATTAGTTGAAGTCAATCAATGTCGAGGGGAAGCAGGACCAAAGTGGAATCAGGTGACGGCAGCATGTGACGGCCGTGAGAAGCGCTATGTCAGCAATAGTTTGCAAGTTGCTGGTCTAAGTCGAGGTGTCGCTGGGGTTGGGGTTGGAAGGGGGTTGGGGGGGGGGGTCGCCATTCGGATCACACATTTCAAACCGCAAACGCTATTGTGGGTTTAATCTTTCTCATTCCTCTGAGCGTTTATTTGAAATTGGACGGGCAGTATATGGCCCAGGGGGCCTCAGATTTCGGACCCCCCCACCAGGTTGTTTCATGCCAATCCCAGTTGGGGTTAACTGCCAAACAAAGCATAAAACATAGAACCCCACATTTCATATGACCACATAACTTAGTCTGCTAGCTTAATGCTAACACATAACGTAGGCGGGCTAATGAATCTGTATCACGTGTCCAAAGCATCACACAAAAAATAAAAATAAAACAAGCGTGTATGGTGTATGTTTTTAGAAAGAACAATATTATTATTATTTTTCTCGCTGTATCTATGACCGCGTGCTGACGAAGCGATTTTGCGTCATGGCTTTTGAGCATGTCACAGTAGAAACCTTTAACCCCTCGGACCGCCCCGATGTCCTCCTCTCCCGAGAATTTGGACTGGCGCTGTGATGCCTCCTTGGTGCTCGTATCAGTAAAAAAAAAAAAAAAAAAATATTTTAATCCCACGAGCCTAAACTAAGTCACAAGAACAGGTCTGAGCTTTTCCCAGGGTGGGAGTCACAAAAAAGTGGGCCGGGGGAGGTCACGCTTGATCAACATCATCACGACGACGTGAAAAACGCTGGGAAATGATGCGGGTGGGTACTCCCGATCGTCCACCGCGTGACCCTTTTAGCGCATTAGCGGGATCGCCGACACTGTATTAAAAAAAACGTTTTCTGCGCTCGGCAGGCATGATGAGGTCGAGCGATCCTAAGAATTCCACGTCTTTTTCTGTCCACCCCCTGGAGAGTTTGCTCGAGGCTCTCTCTCTGTCTCTGTCGCAACTTTTTGCTTTCTCACCGTTGACTTTCAATTCAAGAGGCTTCCAGGGGGGCCTTCCGAAGCGCTCCTATGAGTTCAACGTGATCCTTTTGCTCGGTTTTGAGTACAGTCTGGAATGATGAGCTTTTTTTTATTTGCTCTCTTGCAGGCCTTGAAGTGTAATTTGACGTTTAAGCCATTGTGGCAAATCCTAAAAAACAAAAAAACAGGCCCTCGGTGTTTTTATTATTATTATTATTATTATTATTATTATTATTATTAATAAATAGAGGATCTTAAGGTCACCATGGCAACGAGAGAGACAATCTCGATGCGCGCACACGACGAGGCACTCTAAAGCTGCTGGTGAAAAACGATTTAACGTCACATCTTTTATAGTTTTTTATATTTTATGAATATCTTTTCTATTTATATTTATTTATATTCTTATCTTCTACTTTCTCCCTTTCATAATTTTGCTGCTGTAAAATTGGGAATTTCTCCATGGTGAGACAAATAAAGGTTTTCTAATCTTATCCACACGATTCCGTATGACAGAGTTCAATCGCACATGTTCAGTACTATTCATCAAACATTCCTAATTTATTAAGAAACAAGTCTCGAACTTCACTTGAGCATCTTTAAAGATGTTTCAAACTGTTGTGAAAAGAAAAAAAATGGTTTAAGAAAGTCCCAAGAGTCAAAATTTGAAGCGATAGATTAGTAGATAAGTACTACAAAGTCAAATTTGGAATATTGCAAAAATGACCGGCCTCAAAGTAGCAGTACAGTACTTTGTGTTGTTGCATTTTTTTTTTTTTTTCAGGGGCTGATATAGACCCACTAAACCGAGTGCCCTTTTTCTGACGGGAAACACACGGGCATCACACACCGACTGGTGTGTGTGTGTGTGTGTGTGTGTTTGCTTTGGGAGTTGCTTTTGTCTTAACTGGCACGTGTGCGTTTCAGGACAAAGACATAGAAGGAGAGGAAGAGGAGGAAGCCGTCACAGGCGTATCCAAGGTAAACAACTTTGCCGAGCGAGCAAGCTTCACAAAGACGCACTCGCTTATCGACACGTTCCACCATACCGGTGGAGTCACTAAAAGAAAATTCCATCTATCTTTGTTCAGACGGCGTTAGCATTGAATTTTGCAAGCAACTTCGAGTTTAGGCGGTAACACAACATGAGCAGTGGACCTGTGACTTGAGATGCACACTCACACACACACGCACACACACGGCATCAATGTCAGATGAGAACAAGCTGAGATAAAGTAGAGCACCGCGGAGGCGCCAGTGTTTATCAGTAAACACGTCAGTCAGCGTGCGCTGAACATCAGCACAACTCTATCACTCCTAATCTGTCTCCTCCTTTTCTTGTTTGCTTACACCGAGCGCTCTGTGTCTGGGCTTAAAAAACCTACTTTCAAACCCCGGCTTGAAACTCGACAAGCTAAATTTGAAACCCCCTAAACCAGGCTCGAAACCCTAACTTGGCATCTTGAAACTTACCCGAAAGCCCGATTTTAAATATTCATTTGAAACTCTAATCCATCGGTGTCAAAGTCAAGGCCCGGGGGCCAGATGTGGCCCGCCACATCATTTTATGTGGCCCGTGAAAGCAAATCAAGCATATCAACTTCCATGATGCTTGCTAAAGTCTGAACCAAAATTTGTAATTGTCATATATCATCCAATATAACGTTTGAACAAGCCATTATTTTTGACTTCTGATTTTAAAACGTGCAACCCGGTGGTCCAGTGGTTAGCGCGTCGACCTCACAGTGAAGAGGTACCGGGTTCAATTCTAGCTCCGGCCTCCCTGTGTGGAGTTTGCATGTTCTCCCCGTGCCCGCGTGGCTTTTCTCCGGGTACTCCGGTTTCCTCTCTCATTCCAAAAACATGCGTGGCAGGCTGATTTAACACTCGAAATTGCCCCGAGGTGTGAGCGTGAACGCGGATGGTTGTTTGTCTCTGTTTGCCCTGCGATTGACTGGCAACTGGTTCAGGGTGTCCCCCGCCTACTGCCCGAAGACGGCTGGGATAGGCTCCAGCAACCCCGCGACTCTTGTGAGGATAAAGCGGATGGGAAAATGGATGGATGGATGATTTTAAAACTGGTTATTCATCAATTTGTTAATCGCTGTGTATGTAATATTTGGAGGTGGTTAAACATGGATATGGTTTCCCAAAATTCAGAACGACCCTCTCCAAGGGAAACCGTAACTACAGCGTGGCCCGTGACAACAAAATTAAAAAAACCCCAACACTCTTGTTAAAACCCCAATTTGTCACATTGACTTGAAACACTAACCCTGGCTTAAGACCATACTCCGAACTTGAAATCCAACTTTAAAACGCCAACCCAGTGTTGAAACACCACTTTGAAGAAAAAAAAAAAAAAAAAGATGAATCTTAGCTTGAATAGCGACTCTGAAACCATAACTCTGGCTTGAAACTCATGTAACATTATCTTGAGATCTCCGTCCCACAAAATGTCAAGTCGGGTGTATTAGGTGACTTTGTGAACAGGACATATTTCATGAGCTGTTTGTACTTTGGGGCCGGAGAAGGGAAGGAAAGGCAACATTGTTTAAGGGACTGCAGAGCTTCGGAAGAGAACAATAAGCATGGAGTTAAAAACAAGGCCCAAAATAGGCTGAAACTTTTTTTTTTTCCTCCGACGTTTTAATAGGATGCAAAAGTGAACGCGGCGTCATTTCCATCATGCGCAGAAAAGGCCTTCTCGCTTCCCACGTTGTGCCGCGGGCATTTCGATTGGTCAGCTGGAATATAAATGACGGCAAAAAATGTTTACCGCGAACGCTTGTCGCATTTCACAATTGTGATAGTAACTCGAGTCAATTTTGATGCATGTATTGGAAACGAGTGTGCCTGGAGGACAAAGTGTTCCGTCAAACCTTCCTGCTATCTAATCGGAACATTCCTGACACATTCCGCAAATGTTCGCAGACGACGACCGTCCGTCGTCCACTGGTTTGCTTTGTAAGAGCGGCTTCTTCGCATGGAAACACGAGAAGCAGTCGAAGCGAAAAGAAAGGGCCGTTCATCAAAGCCGTGTTATGAGTAGTGGGAATGTTTTGATAAGAGCCAGGCAGAGGCGAGAGGCAGGCACAGATGTGTGGAGGAGGAGGAGAACCAAAAGCAAACGTGTCCTTCGAGCCCGTAAAGTTTGTTCCAGAATCTTGCCGCTTATCTCTTATGAGTCTACTGAGGCTTGAGGGGAGTGCAAGAACTTCATGTGTCATATTTATGACCTGCACTACTAAAATTGTCAGTTTGACGCCACCCGAAATGGACGCATATCATGCAAAATCCCTTACTCGTTTCTCGCGAAGAATCTGCTCCAGATCCAATCTGTGATACAAGTTTTGATATAACGTGACCCCCCCACCCACATGCTTTGAATATATTTAAGCTTCATTAAAAAAAAAACAAAAAAAAAAAACCCACTGGAATGTTTTGAAATACACCCTCGGTTGCTGTCAAGAATATAACATCACTTCGAGGAAATGAAAAGAGGTACAGCGTGCTTGCTTCAAGCGGTTTGTCTCACCCAGTTGAAGCGTACCGTGAACGTGACGCCTAAAACAAAGGAGAATGAAATGTCAATGTAATCACCAAAATGTTCAAGCAAAATGATTTGACATTTTTTGGGGGACAAAAGTCTATTAGCTAGCTACTATAATGCTTGTGGGAATCATTAGCAATGATGTTACGCTAATTCTAGAGAAACCAATGGAAATGTGTTCTTGTGTCAGGAGGCCAAGGTGAAGAAGATGATGTCCAAAAAAGACAGAAAGGACAAGAAGATGTTCTCCTCGAAAGACGATGAGCACTTCTTGTTGACCGGAGAGAAGCATGCGGACCGGCCAGGGTAAACTTCAAACCTGATTTGAGTTTCTTAGCTTCATATTCAAATGCAGTATTTTCGACAGTTACCACCAGTTCAGGTATATCTTTATATTAGGGCTTCAAGCCAGAGTTATTGTTGAAAGTTAGGGTTTTATGCCTAGGTTAAGGCTTCTTAGTGAATTTTAAAGTTAAGTTAAGGGTTTCAAAGCAGGGTTACTGTTTTAGGTTAATGATTTTGAATGTGTTAAGAGTTTTAAAAAAATTATTATGGTTTGGAGCCAGGAATAGGGTTTCAAAGTTGGGTTTCAAGCCAGGGTTGGGGTTTTAAAATAATGCTTCATGTCACTGCTAGGCTTCAAGTTACTGTTCTGAATTTGGGTTTCAAGTCAGGGTCAGGGTTTCAATAAATGGTTTCAAACAAGGGTTAGGGTTTCCATTTTGAAGTCTTGGCGACGGTTCTAAATTAGTTTTGTTTGTTTGTTTGTTTGTTTGTTTTTCAAGCCTGGGTTAGGATTTGAAAGGGTTATGGATCAGGTATCAAGACAAGGTTAGGTTTTCTCGTCAGCATTAGGGTTTGAAGTGAGGCTTTCCAAACAAGGTTTTAGGGTTTCACGCCAGGTTTGTGGCTTCAAAGTGGAGTTTCAAAATAGGGCTTCAAGTCATGATTAGGTATTCAAAGTAAGGTTTAAAATGAGGGTTAGCATTGGGCGATGTCTGGCATGTAAACATGTGTTGGCATTTCCTTTGGTTACTTTGCAGATGTCACAAGAAAGTGAAATGCGAGAAAGACAGGAAGGAGAAGCCCGACAAAGCTCTTTGCTTCTGGGAAAGCGTCACCATGACGATGAGACAAATTTCTCCTGTCAAAAAAACGGACAAGACCGACGGCTTGGAGACGCCGCGAACCCGGAAAGATGACATTACTGCCCCGCAGGAGGGGGGCGCCATCCCAAACGGACGCTCGCCCTCACCCCCTCTTGTCGACACGGGTGACTCGTCCCGCTACGCCAACCTGTCGCACTCCGAAGACCCCGCCTGCGCCGTCACGTGGACGTCCCGCGCTAAAGTCAGGCTGGCCGGAATCAGCAGGATGAGCAAGGGGATGGTGTCGGACGGCACCTGGGAAGGACTCAAATAGTCCTTATTTTAACCCTTCGGCGCCCCCTTCCCCCAATGTCGTGTACTAGCTCCAAGAACACATTTTACACTACCAGTGAATTTCCGCCTTGTTTGCAGTGTCTACTCTGTATGAATGGCATCAATAAGCAATATTTAGAGCGCCTCATTGTCGGCTGTGAGTGTGCGCATGTTCTTTAGAGCGGCTCATTGGCGGAGGAGAGAAGGCAGAAAAATGATTTTTTTTTTTAATTTTTATTTTTTTATGTTTTTCTTTTTACAGCCAGCGTGCGGACAGGGGCTTCACGCTGGTGTGGCCATTTTAGAGCGCCTCGTGTTTTTTTTTTTTTTTTTTTGTCATTTCTGTTCTGGACCAGCAGTGTGTACATTTGTGCGAATTGAAACAGAAGAACACGTACTGTATGCAATGATCTTATGCTGAGTATTTATGATTATACTGCTGGAAAAATCTACAATTTCAAGTGCCTTGAGGTCGGGTCTAAAACCGCTGAACATTTTGTGCAATTTTCTCCTAAATTCCCATGACACAGCAATCACAATGAATCGTAGACAATTTTACAAGCCAGATCAAATTTGTATGATTTCTAAGTAAATTATTGGGAGAACATGCATATGACAAATCTTTTCATTTGATCACTTTTTTTTGTCTCGATTGAAAAAAAGCTGGGTACTAATGAATATCTTCGATGTTGTAATGTTTTACCTGAGGCAGCCATTTGACTGTCACCAATGTTAACTTTTTACAGAGCAGAATGAAGTGCTTTTCTTTCAAGCACTCATGTTAATAAATAAATCGGAGCAAGCATCACCTCCACAACTTCATTTGAGAAAAATGACACCACTGTATGTTTTATTTTATTTTTTGTAAATATTTAATCGTTTGGTTAAGCTACTTCCTGTCCCAAACACATTATCATAATAGCACCATGGAAACACGCGGAACAGGGGGGAATATTACAAAAAAAGTTCCCCAATGCCCATAAATAACACTTGACATTTCCATTTGACAACTTTTCTCTGTTCATGGAAACGGAATAACGAGAGCACAATGGAAAACGGACGCATGCGGTCAGATATTGCGGGGAAGAAAAAAAGCATCACGTTACAAAACAGCCATTTGTTACATAAACGTTAGCGGAGAGCTGGGCGTAATAATCGATTAATCCATCCATTCCAATTCTATAAAACCACCATTAAGTTTCTGAAAATGACACTACATACTTCTCATCACATATCACATGCTAAAACTGACATTACACTTTGTACATGAATATTATATATATCGGTTAAATACTGTGTGTGTACACACACACACACACACACACACACACACACACACACACACACATATGTATATAAACAATATATATTTATTTAACCGACCTCCTATATTTGTGCAAAAATCTGCAATGTACTATTTACTGGGGATTCTTCCCTGTTGCCACAGTCACAACAGTTGTGCGCAATGGAGATTCATGTTCAAATGCATCCCATTTGGAGCCCTTTGTATACAAGGTAAACAACGCTAGGATGTCGTACACTCACAGGTTTGGACATTATGGAAGGAAAGGAAGCATCTAGAACTGGAAGAGGTCGATGAAGTGTTGCGGAGAGATGGGCACAAGGCAGCGTTCCGGGTCATTGGCGGTGCACGGGTGGCCGCAGTCCTGACAAAACAATCATGTATTATTATTATGACTACTATTAAAAGCATAAGGTGCAAAACATTTATTTATTAAATTACCCCTCCACTTGTCATTGTAACTAATTAAAGAGCGAACTAACGGATAAAATACCAATTACTTTCAGAAGAAACTAACTCAGATAAAAACAACAAAGGTCCCCCTCAGAGCTAACTAGCTGACTGACTGCCAGGCAACAAAAAAATAGCAAGGGCTTTTGTAATTGACACCGGTAAAAATGATGCCGCTCATCTTTGAAACCAACTTGCTGACTAACTAACTACCTGACGTAAAAACAAGACCACCCACTGACTGAACAAAAGCAATACTACTTGACTTCATAACTAACCAACAATCAAACTAAGTGGGGTAAAAACAACACATCTTGCCTCTATAAACTAAGTATTAATTAACTGGTGCAAAAACAATGTCAGTACCGGTAGTCTTCATAACCAACTCACAAACTCTGAGTTTTGTCAATAGCTCTCACCCTCACAACAAACTAACAAACGGGGGTAAAATCATTCTGTGTGTGTAATTTACTGGCCAGCCATCTAGCTAGCTAACCAAGGAAGTAACAATACAATATTTGTCGGAAACGAATGAGTGTAGACACGATTTTGGCTCTACCTAACTACCAAGCTCACTAACTAAATAACCGAGTAAAAAAATACCTGTCTCCTCTCTAACTAACTAACTAATTAACTCACCGGGTTCATAACATTTCCTTGTGTCTAACTTACATGAGTGTCATTGTGAGAAACTAACTGCAGTAAATACAATGCCGTGCCTAACTAACGAACCAACTAACTAATGAAAACAATATTTGCCTCCATGACTAATTAACTCACCCAGTGGTTGTCATTTTATACCAAGTACAAGAATATTCAGTTGTATAAAATTCAGCTCAACACAATTATCCATTGGCAGTAATTATTCTTTTGTCTACCACTAGAGGTCGCCAACATACCAACAGCAGGTATACTGATTGGTCAGAAATAGTGTGGAAATGTGACTTCGACAAAAAAAGAAAAGAAAAAAAAACATGATGGAGCCTCTCGCTGCTGGTCAAAAGTCTGCCAAATGCAAGTGTGTCAGGGATGATGACAAATGTCCAAAAGAAGAACTGATGATGTGGCTCGGGATGAAGAATGAGGGAAAATAAACAAACAAGGCACGGTGGGACAAAAGGTACCTTGAACAACAAGGCCAGGTGGCGATCCTTAAGGGGTCAAAGAGGAGGAGGAGGAGGAAAGGTTGGGAAAGAGAGCAGAGGTTAAAGGGCACACGGGAAATATTATAGGGCACAGGGCAAGCAAACAATGTGGGAACGCTATCATCACTATTAAACGTTCACGTCACTCAAACATGATTCAATATGAAAATTAAACTCAAGTCCTGTGGCCTCTCTTTCGATTTCTTTTCTTGAAAGCGAGTGAACAAATAATGGCGCTACCTTCCAGAAGAGGATGCTACAGTGCTTGCAGAAGTGCAACGTGTCGCCATACTGCTCCTTCATGGGGTAACGCTTCTGCAGAGTGAAATACATCAGCTTCCAGTCAACGCTGTCGCTCTTGGGGAGGACCAAATTCCTGGAGGAGTGCTAAAAGAATCCCCAGACACACACACACACGTAATGACAACAGGGACCAAGTTTAACTCTGTTAGGACAGAGACTCCCAACCACTCCATTTTACTTGGTGGTGTGCCTTCCAAAATGTTCTCATGTAAAATGGGTGCCTCGGCTCAAGAACAGGTGGGAAACTGCATTAGGACGCGAATACAACGAAGCAATGCTGCCCTCCAGTGGTCAGTAGAGGGAGCTGGGGTTTTTCTCACCTGCTTATCAGAGAAGTGGAAATGGCACAGCCGCTTCCACAGTGTCCGGTTCTCGCTGAGGACGTGCAGCGTGGGCGTGGCCTGTCCCAGGTTGATGATGTCACAGGCGTCAGAGAGGTTGTAAAGGATCTTGTTCTGCATGTAGAGCGGCAGGTCGCTGAACGACATGCCGGAGCACATTTGCTGCACAGACAAAACAATACGGAGATTGAAATACAGTCAGCCCCTACCCCGGTTATCGAGAGGGAATATGCTCCAAAACGTAGTTCCTGAAAATGTTAATATACCCTCGAACGAGAGAGCAAGCGGATGCGTACCTTGGGGATCTGCAGGTCGTTGAGCTGCTGCTGCCACTTGAGAATATTCTCCAGTCGACATAGCCAGACGTTGACGTTGCCCACAAGCACGCATCGACCCACGTGTAGGGTCAGACTGTGAAGCGTCGCGCTCAGATCCTGCAGGAGCTCCTTGACCAGCCGTGGATTGTAGTGGTCCTCTACCACTGGCGGCGGCACGGCACAAAGCAAAAATAAAACAATTATGATCGCTGAAAGGATCCAAAGACTATCGACAAAAGACTTGATGATACACAACATGGCGGAACATAAATGTGGATGTACACAACATTGTGAGACACAAAGGTACAAAATATAAATATGGACATGCAACATTACGGAACCTACACCTGACAGACACATCATCACATTCTTACCCTTTCGCACAATCTTCTCTAGAATGTTGAAATAATTTTTCTGGGCCGCTCCGCTCAAGGACGTCAGCTGGGATCTGGCTATTAGCTGGAAAAGCTGAAGCGCAATGCACCGTCAAGACAGACCAACGGGCACCAAACAACAACACCCAGGCGCTGCTCGCTCACTTTTGCCACGTAGTTGAATCTCCTCAAGTCATGGATGGCGCTGGAAAAGTCGAGGCGGTTCAACGCTTCGCCCAGAGTGCAATATCCATGACGCTGTGTGCAATCAAAACAATATTATTCAAAACCCTGTGAAGTGAGTCGAAGTAGCAGCATCCATTTTCCCAGGTCAGAGAAGTGGTATTTGATTGACAGTTGACATGTGAGCAGGGCGTGATTACAGCACATTCACGGACACGCCCCCTAGCGTTTGAGAATGGGAAAAACATGGCTTGGTTTTTCTCAATCGCATTTTACTGTATGTATTTGAAAATGTTTTAAGCATAAGACTGACTGTGTCAGGTGACAAAGGGCTCCAGCACTGACCTCCTTCGTGCTGCCTTTCTGCACGTAGATCCATTTATCCCTGAAAACAACTACACCCGCACAAAAACATTTTTTTGGGTGGCAGATTAACACGAATGGATTCGAATGTGATCGTTGCAAAAATAAAAAATAAAAACTCACACTGAGATTTGGTATTGTGGTTGTAGAAGTCCTTTCTCATTTTCACACGGGCAAGTTCACAAATGTTTTCCACGAACAGATTTTCTTTGTCGTCACAGGTGAATCTGTTGGGAGTAGAAAACAGATGACTATGTTGGTTCTGGTTCAACGGAGTCTACAAAAGTTCTTCCAGTTTCCAAGTAGAGCTGAAGAGAAGTGCATGACGGTATATGAACACAAGGATTATTGTGTACTGCACTTGGCGAAAAAATTATGACTTCATTCTCCTAAAATTGCCACTTTTTGAAAACATCACATACCTTTTTTGCTTTAAAAAATATTGCTTTTTTTCACAAAATTCCACAAAAATCTGATTTTTTTTTTAATAAATGACTTTTTTCCCCCCCATGACAAATAGTGACATATTTCGCTAAAAATCTTTTTTCGCCAAATATTTTTTCTACTTAAAAAAATATATCTATTGCCTAAAATACGCTTTCCCTTAAAAAGAATCTGGATAACCAGGCAGATTTTTTTCCTTTAAAAATAAAAATACTTTTTAAAAAGACCCACTACTTAATTCTCTAATTTTTTTTTTTTTAACCATCCAGAATTTTCTCTAAACATTTCTTTTTCCCACTTTTTAAAATGACCTATTGCACAAATTGGGATGCCTTGTTGGAAAATTGATATTTCGGTCAATTTCGTGACGGGATGAGCAGACTTTACGAGCAGTCAGGTTGATCTGCAGCAGAGAAATTCCCATAACCTGTTTCCAATTCTTTTGTCCACAGACATCTTCTGAAATGCAAATTGGACACAACTGAGCTGCTAAGTGCTTTCTGGCCTTTGTACAAGGGCCGTGCACATGTGGGGAAACAAGGAGCTCTCTGATTGGCCAAATTCCAAACAACTGGCGCTGACCGCGTTGAAGAGTTAAGATATGTGATGAGCCTTTATCAGTTGTCGGCACACCTGCGGGCCGTGACTCCTCCGAGGTCCCAATGACCTCTGTGGAATGTTGTGTTCGTAAAGCCTACCTTTCTAAAAGTGATTCATGAACAGCCGACTCAGCCCGACGGTTTTATGCGTATTCATACAAAGCAGGGTCAGATTCTTTTTCGATCCTCTTTTCTTCATTTTTATGGACAGACCAAAATTTTAAGCCAAGATCAGGGCGTAAACGCATGCGGTAAAAAAGCGACGGTGTTCAACACTTTGGTTAGGAATTGAAGGATATTGAGATGTCAACATTCCCGGGGAGATCTCTGCCTAAAAAAATAATAATAATAAAAAAATAAAATAAAAGAGAAGCATGGCTATTGACCTAGCCAAAATACAACTCACCATTTCACTGACTGTGGTTGCACTTCTCAACAAGCTAGTCCCACCTTGGGTTAAACTTTATTATCTCGAGGGAAAAAGACATAGCTCACTTTGTTCTAATCTTGACTTATCAGACTTATCGTGTACAGTGCGGATAAGTGGATGTCGGTGTTGATAGATGTACTCCAAAACGTGAAATTACACAAGCATTTCAGCTAGCAGCCTCATTGATTGTCTCCAGCTCCATTGAATGAGGCCCCTCATGAAAACCTTGAGTCAAGCTGCCTGCCACTTGGCGAGGTGCCAAGCCGGAGCCATGACGTTTGCAACGCTGGGGATCGAGTGAGACGTCACCGACTGGTAGCGTTGAGATTCCCGCTTTTGCACTGCCACTTAGGTAATGCAGAGAACAAATGACACCATGGTCACAATGGACCGATGAGCTTCTTAAGCTTTCGGGAGATGTCAGTCATCATAGCCTGCATTGATTGAAATTTATAATGAGGGGACTGGACTTAACTTATTTTTTGCCACACTAAGTTGCTAAATGCTGGAAACATGAAGATTTAGATTTGGGACTTTATGAATTACACATATGTGAGTAAGTCCCACCTCTGCAATCCACACGAACAAACTCCATTTTTGGACTTAAAGGGTACTGTTTGCAACAATGGCATGAATATGTAATTACAATTAATTCTTACTCGATTTCTCTGTGGATGTCGTCCATGTCATGTCCATAGAAGATGATCCTCTTCCAGCCGTGTTCCGTCTTGGTCCACCTCCATCCTGGCGACCTCCAGTCTTTGCCCAAGAAAGGCATCCTAGATGGAGAAAGGGCTGGAACAGTGAGCAATGGACGACAAGGAGGAGAAATGTTTACAAGAACCTGAAAATAACTGAATGACAATCATCGCACGTTACCATGACAACACACGTGATACAACGACACAGAATGACGTCCTCAAACCACAAACTTGACACACAGGGCCGTTTACAGTGACAACAACCACTGACATGAGGTTGTCTGGCTCCACGGCAAGTGCCACTGAGTCGATGAGATTTGCTTAACAACACTTTTGTTGGCAACACATTCGCCTTCGTTTAGTAGATAAAGAGGAACTGACTTCGGCCGACACATTGCACGTCGTTCGTTTCTGTGTGAGAATTAACGACCAGCTGTGAGTTTATCGCATACCGTCGGTAAAGGTCTACCACCGACATAAAAACTAGTATTCTAAGAAAAATAAAGTCTTCAACTAACCTTGACGAAGAATGACAATTGCTTTCTCTGTCTTTTTTTCCCCGTCGCTGTTCTTCTCGCTCAGCTGCAGGAAATATTGACGGAAGTAAACAACAGCGAAGGGATCGTGCGTAGCTCCGCCTTTCTCTTCTCCGATTGGACCAAGCGCGGGAAATCAGCTCTGTTGCCACGCAGAACACCGCTGCGGATTGGCCGGAAAGAGCTGTCAATCTTGTCAACCCCTCCTTCTAATCCTCTATTTTGTTGGGGGTTCTCCGCTACACGTGACGGAGGACATCGCACATGTTGTACTGTTTTGGTTTGTGCCAGTGGGGGCCAGGGAGATTTACCCATCCATTTTGAACACCGTTTATCCCGAATAGGGTCGTGGGGAGTTGCTGGAGCCTATTCGGGCGGAAGGCAGACTACACCCTGAACTGGTCGCCAGTCAGTCGCAGGGCACATATAGAGACAAACAACCATTCACACCCACATCCACGCGCGGTCACTAAGTGGGAATCGATCGAACGCTGCCCGCATACAAGTCAGGCGACTGTACCACTACTCCACCGGGGATGGATTATCATTTTGAATATACTACTCATACAATAACAATAACAAAGATCCCATGATTTCCTAGAAGTGGTAATACTAGCAAGAATGCAATTACAGTAATCATAGAGATCAATGGGCGGCCATGCATTTGGTACTGAGGCCTTTAGCGGCCATTTACCCATCTTAATCCACCGGGGAATACCACCACAATCATTATGTCGCAATTCTAGTAACAATATCAACATTCATAAATATAAAAGCACGCAAGTGTGACACATACATCATCTGGAGCAGTTCAGAAATAATATAAATCTAATAACATGGCAAAACAATAAAGTGTGTCATACATACCAGAGATGCTGAATATTAAATGCAGGTTGCTCAAGAGGTCCTTTGCAAGTCGAATTTGGCATCATGGTTGTATTGAAAACAGTGACATGAAAAACATTCGCTATTTTATTGCTCACCACTGTAACCTCAAAATGTCATAATGACAGTAAATACTTGTTTAAAAACACATCTAGGTCATAAATATCAAACAAGCCAATGAAAAAAAATTACAGTCACTGAGTTTCTTGCGCTGCACAAACAAGTTCATTTTGGGGCAGTTTGTAACCACTTCAAATGTCCAAAACAGAACGGAACCCTAATATTGTATATCAAGATGCCACTTTCCTCTTTGCTTGAAAGCAGGACTCTTGGCACAAGAGCACTGATGAAAAAGCTACAACCTGTAGACCATATATGGACAACGAGGAGATTTAAAGCCGTCATCTGGCAAAACTCAAAGACTGTTTTCAGAATCCCTAAAACATTTCATGAATACATTTGGCGAAAACTGATATGGTCCCTGGAGTCAGGAATGAGTACTCATAAAGCACTTGTGAACTGTTTGCCTCCCAAAATAAAAAATAAAGCGAAAAATATTACCCTTTCATAAATTAAAAAAAAAGTGATGTTACAAGAAAGCAGCTGTGGAAAAAAAATAGCCTGAGGGTGGTACATTTGAAATTGGTCTTACAGGGCAGGACGAAACTTGTCTGGGATGTCAGTCAGACTTCTAAAAGATATCCAGTGTGCGTAGGAATACGTAAAACGTATTTGTTTGTATGCAAGTAGGAGAGACAAAGTGGGAAAGAAATCCAGTTTCAACACTACCCCCAGATTACGACCTTCCGCGACAAACAATTCTAGCTCCCGAGTCCGAGGAGGGGGCGTGGCGAAGGGACAATGCGGACAGGCACACAGGCTTGTGTGAATCAGTGAGTCATTGGGCTTGGCGTAAAGTTGTGCTCAAGGGTTGCCACAGAATCTGACGCAACTCGGGATTCTTTAGTGGCGATGGAGAACATTGGGATTGAAAATACTTGCTTTAACAATTAGGCTCATCTCAACCAGGGTCGCGGGTGGCGTGCTGGAGCCTATCCCAGCCGTCTTCGGGCAGCAGGCGGGGGACACCCTGAACCGGTTGCTAGCTAATCGCAGGACACGCAGAGACAACCAACCATCCGCGCTCACACTCACACCTAGGGACAATTTTCGAGTGTTCAATCAGCCTGTCATGCATGTTTTTGGAATGTGGGAGGGAACCGGAGTACCCGCAGAAAACCCACGCAGGCCCTGGGCGAACATGCAAACTCCACACAGGATCAAACCCACGACCTCTGCACTGTGAGGTCGACGCATAAACCACTGGACCACAGGGCCTCCCGATAATAGATACGACCACCCAATTTCATGTTGAGCGAGAAAACATGTCATGGACTATTTTTTTTCAATCCCCGGGGGCCATAAGTGAATGAGTTTTTGTGAGCCTTGTCTTGTCCAGTCCAGTCCCGGGTGTACGGCGCCTTTCGCCCAAAGTCAGCTGCGATCAGCCCCAGTTGTTCCGTGATCCTGATGAGGACAATCAGTATCAAAAATAGATGATGAGTGGATGGATTTTAGTCCAGGTCTCTCAACTTTTTCCCACTCTCTTTAGCATTCTTGCAGCTGTATAGCCATTTGATAATCCTTGCATTTCGCTCGATGACCGATGTTCCCTGACGGATCTTCTTGTGCAGGACATCTTCTTGCAGCCCCTCGCTGTCGTCGCTGTTCCGGGAGAAGCCGCCGTCCGATGTGGCCACGCTAACGCTGCGCACCTTGAGCGTCATCTCGTCCGAGCGTGCCGAGAAATTCTCCTTACCCAGAGACTCGATGACCTCCCCGTCCAGGCCGCAGTACTTGAAGAAGGAGTCAAAGTCCGCAAAGTTTTTGGAGTACCTGGAGCTGATATCCGAGCGGGATCGACCCACCCCTTTACCTCTCCTGACGGGGACATTCAGGAGATTAGTGGATGTCTCCTTTGGACCACTCTTCAGGTTTCTGGTCGCTCCGTTCCGCCTTCTCTCTAATGTTGGGGTCTTTGCACTTGAGCAATGTTCCCTTGCAGATTCTTCAGGTGTGCCGGGTTCTTCCTTACCGCCATCAGGGTCGACTTCCTTCTCAGCCGTCTCGGGTAAGGTTGTTGTTTTGCTCGCGGAGCTTCGAAGCAATTTACGCGTGATGTGATGTTTGCGGTCATGGCCGGCCCCTCGCAGCAGTTCACATTTCTGCCTGTAAAGCAGGATGGAGTCGGGTCGCTTTTTCGAGCTGGAGCGACGTACCTGCGCCGGGGAGCAGTCCTGCGGAGACACTTGGGGATGCGTTGAGCTCCAGTTAGAGGACAAGGAGCTTGAAGCGGACGGCAGGCTGATCAGTGGCTCCTGAGTGGAGTTGACCACCTGCTGGCTTTTCACGTATTTGGGTTTGCTGGCGGCCAGTCTCTCCACGGCACTCATGGGCCCTTTGACCTCACTCTCCAGTTCCATTTGCTTTCGAAGGTAATCTGGACCCTTCTCCAGGATTTTTGAGGTCTCGCTGGGGCTCTCCATAGCAAATCTCTCATCGAAGGTTCGACCTCAGGAAGAGCGATCTTTCCTTAAGTTTCCAGGATTCCATTCGATCCCATACTTTGCCTGAGCATGTTTCCTAATGTTTCTCCCGTTCTGTTGCGACACACGCCTCTCGCCTACCCCACCCATCCTGTGCGAGGTCGCTTTCAGTCAAACACGGGCCTGTTCAAAGTACACCTGATAGGACCGTGAGGAAGAAGAAGTGAAAGCCGACACTTTTTTTTTCTCTTAAGGGGGCACGGCGAGGAAATGTTTTACAACGATCAGACAAAGCTTGGACTTTTTAAGATAAGATAAGAGTCTGACTTTCCATTCCTTCATGTTGCACTTGCAAGTATACAGTGGAGTACTTGCAAAATCCATGGAACAATGCAAACGGATTGCGTTTAGAGTCCCCCCCCCAAAAAAAAAAACAATGTGCGAACTGATAAGCACATGCAAGCCCCTGCAAGCTAATGCTAATCTCCGCATCAAACAAAACCGTGTGGGTCTGAAACAAATCCCTTTGTAAAACAACTTGTTGAGAATTCCCCCAGACCACCCAAACTAGCTGTTTTTAGCACCGCCAACCAAAAATAAACTGTGTTTCTCAATTTTCTAACTGAACGGGAAGGGTGGAACAAACTTCTAATGTGTAGCTCAGAGGCACACATAATTCTAATTGACACTCTGCACGGATTGAAAGGGCTTTGATATCCAAATTGGGGGGCATGTGCTTCCTTTAAGACATGAATTAGAATTTCCCAAAGGCAGAGGGCAGCACTAGAATGCATTGTGTGCAGTCATGCTAAAGTCTTAGATGTCATGTCGCACATAATCCATTTTCTCCACTTACACGACTGCTGCTTCCTTGTTGTCTTCCCTCAAATCGATTCACATTTTTATATTTTTTGGACTCAATCTTCATTCCACATCTGTTTTTCAAGAGCATTGATTGGTTTTTTTTTTTTTGTTTTGGGGGGGTGCTGTATTTAATTTAATTTTTTTTTTTTTTTTTTTTAAATTGAAGCACATGCTTTCTGGCCAGCTTCCTTCAAATGGGCCGCTTGGGGATTCGGCGGTGGCCCGACGCCCGTTCGATACATTTATTATAAAAATTTTATATCAGTCCAATATGTCAGTCATGAATCATGACGAAGGAATAAATTTTAGTTACATCACGTGGGCTGATGTTGTAGACCAGAAAACCTCGGAAGCTCAGTTGCTGAATATGAACGCATTTTTCTGGAATTTCTGGAAAGCCGTTCCGTTGGGCACTGCCCGTCTTCCTTCGGTCCTCGTATAAAAACGGTATCTACATTTAAAAACATTCATTTCGAAAGAAAATACAAAAACAGTCTACATTAAAAAGAGAAGATATATTACTTTCCCACATGTTTCTTTATTTGGCTTATGAATCGAATGTTGATTTATAGCTGTGTGCTTTTGCGGTCTACATTATGTTTAATGGGGACATATATCCGTGTGTGTGTGTGTGTGTGTGTTTAATCAAATAAAACCAATATTCGGGGAGGGGGAATGGCTTGAGTGATGCAACAAATATTACATGAATCTGGCTCATGCTTGGTGGGCCAGAAGAAAGGAATGGGCTGTATGATGTCCGTGAATCATACTTGGCCCACCCACTTGGTCAATGTCTCTTTGCATTTGTGCGTTAAAAAAAGAACAAAAAAAATTCCAAACGTTATTAAACATCTAAAGTTTGTACGATGGCAACAACGTGAGACTGGAACATATTCTTCGACGCTACGATTGGTCACAGTTGAAATTCCCTGCCAACAAGATAAATAATGCCTTCCTGTGAGCTTTTCACTCAAGACCTTACGAGTATTATTATTATCATTACTACTCTCCCGGGAGCTGATAACTGACATCTTTTTTTATTATTACTGTCTGGGCAGATGCATTTTTGGACACTAAACTGTGCTGAGCTTCATGTTGACAGATGTTGAAATATGTCTTATTTGGGCAGTTATGTAACCGCTTTACATGACAAGTCAATGCAGGGGAATAGTAATAAATAACTCATCCTTGGTGCGTCACAGATCAATTGTGGGAAACATAATGTGTTCAATTTTAGATTGACCATGTCTGTACAATGATTTTGTACATTCTTATCAAGAAAAGACAATCCCCATGTTTGCTAGCAGCCGTGCGTAATCTAGCAAAGAAGCAGAGTAGGAGAACATCAGAACTGATCCAGCATTAGCAACGCTTCTGCTCAACAGGTAAATTCATCATGTATTTTTTGATTTTTAATTGATTAACTGATGAATTTTGTGTTACTCTAACACTGTATTACAAATAAGTCACGCTATCTACGCAGCAGCCGTGCTTAACGTCGGCTTGTTGACAGTGCTAATGATCGCTTAGCGTTGCTAGTGCTACCATTTTGTTGAAGCTGGACAGCATTTCGGCAATTATTCACGGCTACGCACTCTAAGAATCACATTTGTACCATTCAGATTTTGCTTGCGGTTTGAAAACAACACAATCCTTCCTGAAATTCACTTAATTGGCCGAAAATATTTTTGATTGACGACAAAAATCGTTCTCTATTGTCTCACCCCGCGCAGAGTGATGTATTTTTACAATTTGACTTTCTTGAGCACTGGCCTGTCAAAGAAGCTTGAAAAGCAATGCTTTATGGAACTCTTTGCAGGTAGGTAACGCTCCCCTTTAACCCCACGTATCCGTCATTTTCTACCCTGCCTATTCCTCACCGGGCTGGAGCCAGAACTGTTCTTGCTTGTCGCCAATCCGTCACAAGCACACCGGGCATCCAGCCCGCGCGTGTCTGGCTAACATCAGCGTGCCGTCATAAGATAGAGATAAGAACAAGTTTATTTGTCTCACAAAGGAGAAATTCCCAATTTACAGCAGCAAAATTATGAAAGGGAGAAAGTAGAAGACAAAAAGTATATCAATAAATATAAAATATAAATATTAGCATATTAAGAATGGGTGAGTGGGGGTGAGTCCAGGTTTTCAGGACCGTCTATTCGATAGCCTGACAGCAGTCAGCAGGAACGAGCGGCGGTACCTTTCCTTCTTGCAGGGCGGGTGTATCAGTCGCTGGCTGAAGGAGCTGCCCAGTGCTGTCAGGGTGGCCTGGAGGGGGTGGGAGGGTCTGTCCATCATAGCTGTTAGCTTAGCTAGCATCCTCCTGTTGCCCACCTCCTCCAGAGTGTCCAGGGAGCAGCCTAGGACAGAGCTGGCCCTCCTGACCAGTCGGTCCAGTCTCTCTCTGTCCCGGGTTGAGATGCTGTCATGGAGGCAGCCATTACCTGTCACGGTCATCTTCTTTATGGCTTTTGTCACACATGCATTATTGCTCTTGTCTCGCAGTTCGGATGAGGGATCTGCGAGCAGCAAAGGCCGAACAATGTCATGCATGATAAGCTGTCCACTGTAGTAACCGCTGTCCCTGAAAGGGTTAAAATGTTTTTTTAAGTGTACCTGTGCCATATTAAATGTTTTTAAGCATATCAACCTACAGAAAGGTTTTTCTTTTTACTTTTTGTAATTATTTTAAAGTTCACGATACACAATGAGAAAAAAAACTTGTGAAGAACGACCTTTTTTTTTTTGTGGTGTAGGTGATGATTCGCCGATGTGTCCAACTGCCGCAGTTTATCGCCAACTACTGCTAAGGAGGATTTACTTGATGTCAGAATTGTTGTTGTTGGTTTTGTTTTGCTTTAAGTATCGGTGGCTGGTATCGGCTATTGTCCATGAGACCCGATACCGTTAAATCGATACCTGAAATGATACCTGGTGTCAAAGTTTGCCCATCACTAATATATAAATCCACAGTATATGTACAAAATATAAAATATAAACCTCGCGCTGTGGAGGCCCTTATGTGTCAAGTGTTTACACAACAAAAACTTTCCCGTAAATAAATGAAAAGTGGCACACAGTGCGCTCTGTGAAGGATTACAAACGTGACAGTTTCTTTTGTAAACTGATAATGTACACACCATTTTTAAGGACGATGTGCACGTCTGAAGGAGGATTATTTTTTTGAATGGAAAACCATCACGATGTCAAGGATCTGCCATCTGGTTAGACGTGGGGGAGTTGAGCCGCTCAACCTTCACCTCATACATCTCAAATTTTATCTCCTCTCATCTGACAAAATGTCTTTCAAAGGAACATCCCTGTTTTTTCTTATGGCTGCTGCCAATGACCCTTATAAGAGGGCACATGTCTTTTTATTTTTTTGGAGGAGACAAAAAAAAAAAAAAAACCAACCAAAAGACAAAGGGTGTGTCTCATCGTGCCATGACTCATCTTATCTGGTTGAGGGCAGGAAACGCTCGTGAAGAATGTGTCTGCCTCCAGGACACCGAGCCGACAAATGGGAAGGAGACGGACACGCTTAACAAGCTTGTCTTCAGCGACCACACTGTCGCTATTATGTGCTATTAAACTCAGTCAGGGAGGTTGACTTTAAAAATACATCGGAAGGAAGGTCTAATTAGACGAGAGATTTCAAACAAACAAACTGTTTTCGGGCCCTTATAATGTTGATTAGTCACACGGGCAGGCGGATGATTTTGATACGGACACAGAAATGTCAGAAAATGTACTTTCGCGAGGCTGAAATTGGAGAACATGGTCAATCAGCATGCCTTGCATGCTGATTGAACACTCAAAATTGTCCCTAAGTGTGAGTGTGAGTGCCGATGGGTGTTCGTTGGCAGGCAACCAGTTCAGGGTGTCCCCCGCCTACTGCCCAAAGACGGCTGGGCTTGGCTCCATCACCCCATGCGACCCTTGTGAGGATAAAGTGGATCGGAAAATGGATGGATGGATGGATAGAATTGCGGTGATCATTTCTCCACACAGATTAATGTTAGTATGGACTCACGTCAGCTCCAGCACACCCCGCGACCCTTGTGAGGATAAAGTGGATCGGAAAATGGATAGATGGATGGATAGAATTGTGGTGATCATTTCTCCACACAGATTAATATTAGTATGGACTCACGTCACCTCCAGCACACCCCGCGACCCTTGTGAGGATAAAGCGGATCAGAAAATGGATGGATGGATGGACTCACGTAGCAATAAGCGCAAACAAAAAGAGGAGGATGTCCAAAATTTGGGATAATTTCATTCACACACGAAAGCTAATTTAATATAGCACACCACTGCTAGGCCCCGCCTTTTAAAAATCACATACATTCAAAATCACAGATACTACGGTGACCCCAAGTGGACAAAAATAATACCTGCACCTCACACGCATATTTTGTATTGTCACACTGAGCTGGTAGACAAACAAACTATTAACACTCAGCATTCATGAGCCCTCAATGAACCAAAAAAATTGATGTTTTTTGGAACGGAGGAGTTGGGGTGACCGGCCCCGAACCAGAACTGCCAGGAAGACGTGTTAACCACCATAGAAGATCACTTTTCCAATAATCTGCTGTTTACACATTCACAACCAGACATTATGACTGTTTTCAGGATTCAATTTAGGCTAACAAGTAAGTGTAGATGTTAAACGTGCGCGACGTAGCCGCCTAGCATCGCGGCCAAACAGCTGCGCTCCAACATGTGCTGATGGTTCAGGCTTTGAGCAAATGTTCAGCTTTTTAGGGCACAGCGCT